CCAAGTCAGATGTGACTTAAGTGGGAGGTAAACCATTGCTCAAGGCTAATGTCAGGATATTTGCCATAATGCACAGTTTTTAAAAGAACAGCAGAGAAGGGAAGAGTGAGAGAGGCTTATTAACATGTAACTTACATCTGAATCTGGGATTCAGAGAGTTAACTGGGATGAGAGGAAAAGATATTACAGAAAGACAAAAATTGCATGTATCCTACTTTAGCTAACTAGAATATATACGTCACTTCTGTTTAGATCACTAACTTCTGTTCCTTTTGTTCAGATATCGCTTGTTGTAGAGCTTCATTTCTACTGTCATCAAAAAGTCCAAAGCAAATGACCAAAGTCCAGCTTGAGGCCTTGTTGTTATGGAATGTACTGACAGTTTTTAAGGGCCTCATAAAACCAGGACTTACAATAAACAAATTTTCTAAATTTTATGGTAGTAGCCATGGAAATCCCCTTTTGCCCCTGCTTTGTGATACAGGTTCGCTGTCCCTGTCATATTGACCCTCGGGCCTCAACTACTCACAACTTCTTTGTCGTACTCAGGAGGAAGGAAATAACGGTATCGTTGACAGGGATGCTGACAGAGAAAGCAGGAAAAGGAGGAGAACAAGAAGGGAAAGGAAGTGCATAGAAAGTAATGGATAGGGTCAAGCCTCATGGCTCTGAGACATCAGTGACTTGCAGGCTTTTCCAGGAGTAATGACAAAGGGCCAGTTCCACAAACACATTTTAACCTCTTACACCTCATTTAAGCCTCTGACCTCCTGCAGAAATCTAAGGCATCAAAAGTGGGCAAGTGCGAAACCTCTGCACAGGGTGGTTTTAACTTCTTGCATTGACCAAGGACAGCTGCAGCGTGAGCCTACTAACGCTGGGGGTTGGAGAAGCTGCCTCCTGAGCAGTCCGGACTTCCTCCCTTCCCGCCCTCTGCTGTGCCTGTTGCATAAACCCTTTTCTCACCAGATATCCCCGCTTCACCTCTCTGTCTGCCCAGACCTCTCACTGGCCTCTGCTTCCTTCACTCACATGCTTCCTTTGCTGCTCATCCTATCTCCAGAGAGCTTCTGAGAGAAACAAAGTGCACGAAGCAAACTGGCAGCATTAGGAGACAATTGGCGCTGCTCAGACCTCCCATGTCAGTTAAGGAGAATAACTTTTTATTGTTAAAGTAACATCTGAGGTGTTGTCACAGTGTGGATACATGAGAAAAGAATGGCATTTGGTTTCCTCTAGCTTAAACATAAAACATGTGAGACCAACGTGGCAAGCGCTCTAATTAGACTGCTCCCTCTGCAAAACTTATACACTTTTTCCTAAAAGAAAATACATGAAAAACTCAACTATCGTCTAATACATAGCTCTGCCACTCCCACTACGATGTTGAGTAAAACAGTGCATTCTGAAACCAGCAGAATTGGCAAATTAATCAGAAGTTAACCATTCTATACAGGATATAACTCAAGGGGTAGATGAGAAGTTTGGCTCCTGTAACAGATATAAGAAACTTAATTTGCCACAGAAGTTATTGAACCTTTAGCTCAAATGAGCTTAAAAGTGTCAATTAAGATTAAAGGCAAAAAAACCCCGCTGTTACCTATGTTTTGCAAATAAAGCTTTCCTTTATCAGAAGTAATAGAAATAAGAGGATGGTTGTTCCTTGATAGATGTTTCAGCAAGTAGTGTCAGTCAGTCAGCTCCTGTGTCAGGTAAAGCTCGAATTTATACTTCTTGCTCAGTTCAAGTGACTGCATTACCACGAGCTGTTTTGCTTACGATTAAAAAAAAAAAAAAATCACGATCGAGTTTGAAAGACACATAAACTGAACAGCTGTACACTTTCTGCTGGGTACTGAACTTACCAAAATTGTCCGAATTTGCTAAAAACTTACTGTCTAGTAAGTCAATCGGTATCAGAAAACAAATTATTATTTTATTTTTCTAATACAACTCCTGGAGTAGCTGTGTACCACACAGGTTAGACAAACTCTCTGGGGATGAAGGTACAAAAGCTAAATAACATCAAAGGAAAGGGCAAAAAAAGAACATGTTTATAGGGCTGCCTGGAACCAATCATGGTTTATGGCAGCAAAGCAGTAGTTAGAATGGGGTATGAGTGCAATCAGTAAAAAAAGATAGAACTAAGCGTTCAGAGCCTTGTTTTCCTGTGCCTGACATGGGGAGACCAGACAAGTCCAAAGAAGAGAAGTCTACTGAAGGCTAGAGCTGAAGAAACACATAGAAAACACTGCCACCATCTCAGGATATCACTGAGCTGCAAGTGGTTGGAAGCCAGGAGAGTACTCCTGGGATGTATCACCTATTCTTGCCTCATTCTTGTGTTTTTCTCTAAATACCCACTTTCAGTCCCTGTCAAAGGACACTGGGCTAGAGGAACATTTGGCCTGACCTGATACGGCTGTCCGCATTGTTATGTTTTCACTCAAAACTCCCTTTGGTCATGGTACCTACAAAAAAGTGACAAGACATCAGATAAAACATTACTGCTGCGTAACATTCTCTTTAGTGTAAAATCAATGCTTGCTGGGACTGCGCCCTCTTTTCCTACTGCAGGTGAGTGGAATAGGGGCAGAGAAAGAGCGTAAGAAAAACTGATGTATGGGAGTTGGGAGAGACCAGGGAGCGCAGTTTAAACAGGTGTGGGGCACAAACGATCATGGAAAAGAATCGAGCCTGACGTAAAACCCTGGAAAACTGCTGCGCTGCAGCCCAGTGACACCACCGGTTCTGGCTGCAATCTCACCAGTTCAGATGCAGATAATACTGCAGCCTGCAACACCAGCGTGGCGGCTGGCAATGTCCACCCAACTCTGGGTAAACACTCAGCAATCCAGGCACAAGGTCTGTGCTGCTGTGACAAGGCTGTCACTGCTACCCCAGGGCAGGAGGGTAAAGCCACCCAGGGCTGCCCACTGCACCGCCAGGGACGGCGGATGGCCACTTCTCTCCGTTAGTCTGATTATGAATTCTCATATGACTTTAAAGTGCAGTTTTTGAATGAGGTCTGTTCTTAACGTACGCATGGTAGCCAGAAAGGCTAAACTTGGTAACCAGTAAGGCTAAACTTCCTTTATACTCATGCTTTCTCAGCCAGCTGGATGCGAGTCATTTAACCAGAATTAGAGTGCTAATTTACGCGGTGTGGTTGCAACACAAACATACATAGCACCGTTTTGTGGCCTTCTCCTGCTTCATCTCCAACCAAACTACTTCAGGGAGAGCTAAGTGGGACTGACCCACAGCCACGACTCCTGATCCCTGGGCCAAAAACAGCGGTATTTTGAGGCAGGAGCCCTCTTTCCAAGTCCCTGCTTTTCCCACCAGCTTCCAGATTATGTGGACGTGCCTCTTGGTGCCCCCAAACCATGACTCAGTCGGGGCGCTCTGCGCCCGAGGCCACCCGCACTGGAGTCCCCCCCCCGCGCTCCTGCCTGCGGAGGGACCCGCTCTCAGCTCTCTCCAGATGACTCTTCCCCTTATGGACACGTTCCTTACATGCCCCCCCGGCTCCCCTCACCCCCCCCCGGGTCT